GATAGATAGATAGATAGATAGATAGATAGATAGATAGATTGATTGATTGATTGATTGATTGACTGACTGACTGACTGACTGACTGACTGACTGACTGACTGACTGACTGATTGACTGATTGACTGATTGATTCACTGACTGATATTTTTCACCCATGCCTGTATTCTGTCAAAAGTGGGAAGTTATCAAAAGCAGTGGCATGATTTTCATGTTTTACATGCACCTGGTTCATTTTTTTTAAATTGTGCTGTTGAAAAGCTGCTGGAAGTAGGTTGGTGCTTGCAGTGTCAATATACTCAACTAATCAAATAAGCTTCACATATTTATTACATTATTAGCTAAATGTCTATGCCTCCTTTCTCCAGTGAACTCAGGTTCATGTTCATGGTTGCCCTCACCTACTCCTTGCAACAACCATGTGATATAAGTTGGGCTAAGAGACACTATCTGGCCCAAGGGCATGCAGTGAGTTTGATGGCTAATTAGGGATTTAAACTTAGCTATCCCTGACCTATGCTCTAATGATTATAATAGAGGTAGGCAGGTTTGTGTTTTTGGAATAAAGTTCCTTAAATTTCCCGGGCAGCACACTGGCTCAAGACAATTCTGGTTATAAAACTGAAAGCCCTGACCAATTAAATAACAGAAAGATGCCTTGCAGTCTACTATGAATTAGTGTGGTGAAGAACCCAAAATAAGTCAAGGAAAGCATTTTATGAATACAAATGGAAAATCTGTAACTTCCCACCTATTATATTATTTTTAGGTTTACAGTTAATTTTATATAGAAATAGGTACTAGAGTGAAAGGTAAATAAATTCATGATTACTGTTGCTGTTTCAGGTATTAATGTAGGCCCTGTAGTGGCAGGTGTTATTGGTGCCAGAAGACCGCAGTATGACATCTGGGGTAACACTGTAAATGTTGCTAGCAGAATGGATAGTACTGGAGTTCAAGGTAAAATTCAGGTGAGTATCTGCATATGTGTTGTACTATGAGCATTCAACTTACAGCAACTCTAGCAGGGGTTTAATGGTAAGCAGATCATTAAGGAGTACTCTCCTCCACACAGTGAATTTCTGTGGCTGAGTAGGGATTCTCATATGTGTTGTACTATGTGCATTCAACTTACAGCAACTCTAGTAAGGCTTTAATGGTAAGCAGATCATTAAGGAGTGAATTTCTATGGCTGAGTAGGGATTCGAACCTATATCTCCTGAGCCCTTATTGGTCATTCTTTCAATTGTTCTCTATAATTAGAGGTGCACAGGAATGCAGTTCTATATCTCCTGAGCCTTTATCGGTCATTCTTTCAATTGTTCTTATAATTAGAGGTGCACAGGAATGCAGTTCTGTTATTGCATGACCAGTCAAATCAGCATTCCATAAGGCATTATTAATGGGAGGGGGAAAGTCTAAACAAAAGTTTATAACTTTCCAACTGGGTCTTAAATTGGTACTACATTTGGCAGAGGGGTAGTAAACAATATAGGCTTGCTTTATGCCATATTTGAAATCATAGGTTAATATAGTTGGGAGGGGCCTATAAGGTCATTGAGTCCAACCCCTTGCTCAGTGCAAATCAAAGGTGGTTGTCTAAATTTCTCTTGAAGTTTGGATTTGTATTCTGTGTAAATTTCTCTTGAAGTTTGGATTTGTATTTTTAAAATTCTCTATCCATCCATGAACTTGTTTGGCTACCATTTTTGGCAGCAAGCAGCCAACTCTGTGCTTATTTCTAAAAATTCCTGTCATGAAGTATTAGTTCCCTGTTGTTCAGCACTGGTTAGGCCTCCTCTTGAGTACTGTGAACATTTCTAGACATTGCACTAGAATGATGCTGACAAATTGGAATAGATTCAGAGGAGGACAACAAGGATGATCAGGGAACTGGAAACCAAGACCAATGAGAAAAGACTGAAAGAACTGGGCATCTTTAGCCTTGAGAAAAGAAATCTGGGGAGAGATATGATAGCGCTCTTCAAATACTTGAAAGGATGGCATACAGACGAAAGGCAGGATCTGTTCTCTATCACAATACAGGACATGTAATAATGGGCTCAATTTGCACTACAGGACATGTAATAATGGGCTCAATTTGCAGGAAGCCAGATTTCAGTTGGGTATCAAGAAAAATTAAAATATTTAAAATATGTTAAAATGTTTGCATTGAATCCTTTTTGAGGCATTTAGAAAGAGCAGGCCAGTGTCTTTTTACTTCAACACAAACCCTAATCAGTTCAATAGGATCTACTCCCAAGTCATAACTTTGCCCTGCAGTTTTCCATATATGAACTCAATAGTAAGTCTCATTGAGGTGAATAGGGTATACGTCTGGGTAATAAGACTGCATCTACTACAAGAGTAGTGTCAGTGAACTTCGTTGCACTTCTTTCCGAGTTTTCATAATTGTAGCTGTATTAGGCTGTGCAAGCATTTCAACAAGAAACACAAAACAAAACAAAAGGAAAAAAACATATGGCACTTTAAAAACTATGCTATATTTTAATGGAACAGAAATTGCAACACACAAACTTGTCTCAAATCACTTCAGTCTACTAGGACATATCTAAAAGATATGAAAGTTGCTACTCTGGAGAATAAAAACTACAGAACAAAAATCTGGAGAGAAATAACTGCAATAAAATATATACACATGCTGGACACCCATATAAAGGGATTAAATATAAGCCAAGGCTTTTAAAATCATCACCAAAAGTAATACTTATGTTGTTATCAACTATTATTTTCCTTTGCAATTACCAGACCCATTTTCAGAACAAGGCTTAAAGGTAAAAATCTACCATTTTGCCTGCAGCTTAAAAGATGATATCACCAACCAAATCTCCTTTCAAAGAGGCTGACAAGTCACAAAAAAATGAGATCTATTACCTATGAGTCAAATGGAATGTTGGGAAATGCATTTGAGAGAAAGAGAGTGACAACTTGCCATAGGATTTATGTTACCTCTGATTGTTCATTCTGATTGATTTTGCTTACAGGTTACTGAAGAAGTTCAGCGGATATTGAAGAAGTGCAGCTATGAGTTTGTGTGCCGTGGTAAAGTCAGTGTCAAAGGCAAAGGTGAAATGTTGACCTATTTTCTTGAAGGAAAATCCAATGGGAATAATTCACAAACACGTTCTTTAAACTTAGAGAGGAAAATGTATCCTTATGGGCGAGCAAACGTTCAAACCAAGCTGGGCACAAGTTGTCCATCTATGTCTTCATCCCCCAGCCTTTCAGCCAATGCTGGGACTGCAACACTTCAGCCGCCATCTGCTCACACCAATCAGACACTCCATTACCTTCCTTCTGTGCCAGCCATAAAGGAGGCATGAGAGCAACAAAAATGTAGGTTTTACCATTTGCCGTTGTTGCAGAGGCTGCCTGGATTTTCGCCAGTAAGCTTAAGGCTTAAGGATTGTTATCAATGAAAATGTCTAAAACCCAACCAAAGAGAACTTGGGAACTGCCTGTATGAACTTGTGGAGTGGATCAAATAAGGGCTAGCAATTCTGTTAGGAAAAGTCTAATACTTTTCTGAAAACGGGGAATATTTCATCAGCAATTTAAAAAGGTAAACTAGATAACAGAAAAAAAATCACCAAGTGAGTTCCTTCTTAAGGAGAAAGGTGGAGAAAATATTTTAAATAAATGTTTCTGTAAGTGTGTGTATGTGACAGAAAATGTTGGCAACACTAATTTCTGACATACAATGGTTATGTGAAAAAAGCAGAGGTTTATAGGCATAGAAGACTTATTTATTTAAATTCTGCAATGGATAAGATTGAGAATGCTCTAAGCATCATATCCAGCAAAGTTATATTTAAAAATGTCTGTAGCTGCTATTTAGGTGGAGGGTACAGGGTGAACGAGATAAGACGTGTCTGCAAGTTATAACCAACACTGTGGAGTCCTTTCCCACAGAATTTAAAAAAAGAAAAAAAATCAGCACTGATTCTAAGATAGGAAGTAACAAGTGCTCATATAGCAGATGTAGATTTTAGAATTTACCGTGTTTTCATATATTTGGGTGGTTTCCAACTGCATAGCAATGGACCAGAAATCAGGCCAGAGGGAGATTTCTGGTAATGTCATAATGTCTCTTATTATATTAATGACTAAAAGTCTGATGCACACAAAGCTCTAGTTACATAAGAGTTGTATCATATACTGCTACACAGAGCTACAGAGAAACAGCTCCTACACTGCAAGGGGTAATATGTATGAAGAGAGTTCCCAGATAACTTATCTAAGATAAAAAATAATTGGTCTCTGTTAAATGCTGGTCAAGTGGCAGAGATGTGTATGCCAAAAAAGTATCAACATACAATGTGATATGGCTTTTTAAGCTAATCACTGACGACTAATATAAAAAGACTTCTATTAAAAGCAGTTTAGTCACAGACATTTGCCAACTAATCATATATGGTTCTGTTCCATGAACAGTAGTGTTCCTCGGATAAAAAATGTTCCTAAATGGAGAGGTCCTCATACTAGCAATTAAGAAGCACTGTGCAGCTATTCCATCTTTTTTTTTTTTTAAAATCTTAGCAGATTTTTCACAGTAGGAAAAAAGATGGAAGAAGCAGTGGAAAAGTAAGAGTGGAAGACAAGATTTTTTCAAGTCTCATAAATTTCAGTGAAAAGGGATAATGGCATGATAAAAGCCTTGTCAGAAACCACACACAACATGGACAAAACTTAATTCTGTTCATGAAATGGAGCTTTGCAATACTGTTTAATGCCTGTCTTCTGCAGAAGTCAGCTTCTGCACCAGGTTTGCACTTATCTTCCATTTGAAGATCCTCCTTGGCAAAAATACATTGAACCACTATTTTTGAAATCCAGAGTTTTGATAGGAAATATTAATACCAGCACATCTATTTGCACAGTAGTGATTATAATATCTCAAATGGAAATAATATTTTAAAAAAAGCATTTCATATGTTAGTTAGCCAGAATTAAATTTATTAATTTGTGCATGCTTTCCCCAATTTTCTGTTTTAGCAATTGTATTTCAGCATCTTTGATGCAACTTTCCTCAAATGTCTCACTGCAAACCCTGTTGATACGAATAAGAATTACCGTAGAGCATAAACTTTGTGCTTCATAGCTCACACATATCAATGCATTGTGTACTGAACAAATTCCAGTAGTCTGCAATTTTTGGTGCTTGTGTGATTCAGTGAGATTTTTATGACAGACTGTGAATAAGCATTTTTCCAGTGTGGATTCCTATATGTATGTTTATCCTCTCAACTGAAAAGAAGTAAGTAGGATCTGCTGAATTTTGCTTGTCCCTTACAGTTCACCATCTCACACCATTTTGCAGTGCCCAAATTAGTAGCTACCAAGCATTAGGTCCACGCATTCTGTCCATTATTAGTAAAATGAAGTCCAAATAAGGATGCATAAGGAATCCAACTACAGTCTAAGCCCCAATGAGTTTCAATCAGTCTGTGCTTTCTGGACCGTATACCTGGCAGGCCCAATTTGTGCTCCAGGACCCTCATGCTGCTGAGATACATTCATATGTCTCTGAAAAAAAATATATACACATTGGGAAATGGTATTTAGGAAAAAAAACAAAGCATGGAAAACATTTCTTAAGTACACTTTAGCCAATGGAGGAATACATTTAAGCAATATATAAAATTTAAAATATGCACAAGTATATAGATGGGAAGTGAAGAGAAAGGGATATTTGACAGCCTGTAAAAAAGAAAGGGAAAGAAAAACAGTGGGACCATACATAAGCTAGATGTTGAGGTGAGATAGACAGGACATCTATACATTAGGACTTTATAGATGTCCAAGTGCATGCAACCTAGTGCTGATGTTATTTATTTATTTATTTATTCCATTTATACCCTGCCTATCTGGTCATATGTTACCTTTAGCATTACTCAAAACATCTATACCCGCCCAGAAAGCATGTCCAGATATAGATATATGATTTTGTCCATTAAACACATTCATCTTAATCCTTGAGATCACTCACATAGGTGCTTCTAGCCACAAGTCTTTCTTTCTTTCTTTCTTTCTTTCTTTCTTTCTTTCTTTCTTTCTTTCTTTCTTTCTTTCTTTCTTTCTTTCTTTCTTTCTTTCTTTCTTATGTCTCTGGAACATACTATTATAGTTCCTTCCTTCCTTCCTTCCTTCCTTCCTTCCTTCCTTCCTTCCTTCCTAACCAAGGAACATACTATTTTAGTTCCGCATTTCCCCAAAACAGGCTATAAAATATAGGAATTTCAGGTAGGGGACATGGATATGCAGGGAGGCTTATAAATGCAAGTGTCAATGTTAGTTTTCTTTTTAAAAAAGTACTTCTTTGGGTAGCACTTCTACTATTGTATTCACAAGAAAGATGGATGGTAGTCTGATAATATCTTTGGAAATCTATCTAAAATGTTAGAAGAAAACAGAAAGCTTATTTCAACAATCTCTGTCATCGAACATGCTTGCCAGCGAGAAGGACCACAATAGTATGTTCTTGTGTTGTTCTCATTTGTTTTATTAGGTTTTGCAGAACTCTCGAGTGGATGGATTGTACTGTATTATGGATCCCTTTGTGTTGATCACTTTGTTCATCCCTTTTATATGCTACTAGTGCTGGCATAAGCAAGCCCTCAAAGTTGTCTGTTCTAAGAGAATCTAATTCATTTAATTAAGTGATCTCTAGGGAATTCCAATTGTTGCCAGAATATTGGTATGAAAATCTCTTGTCAGTGTAAGCAGTAAGGCTATTGAGCCCATGTCTTGAAAGGATTTAAATTAGTAGTATGCTGGATGGAGTATAGCAGATATTAGCAGTGCAAAAAGGCCACTTTTAGGCTTCTCAGAATGCTCTGTTTCCTTTTCTCAATTCAAAGAGAAGGCAATACAAGAGCTTTGTTTTGCCTCAATGACAGCATTTAAAATGCTGTCCTTATCATTCAAAGGCTGTAATTATAATTGTTTTCCTCTCACATGCTTTCCTCCAAATCACTGAAAGGCTGCACAGAGCATATGGAGACATTTGTGCAAATAGTTCTTCCCCACCACACATTTTGGCTTGTAGTTAGTGTGACTGCTTTATTTGCTTAATTTTCTTTTTCCAGTTCAAGTACTAAGAATGATCTTGCTGTACTAGCCCCACAGAGCAGATACATCTGTGCTACAGTACCTGTATGTGATTTATATTTTCATTAAGTAAGATCAATCAGATTAATCTTGACACAACTGTTTAATATGGGGCCATGTATAAAACGTTATCTTGACCTTTTGCCCCTGAAGGAGTCATACCATTGGCAAGGTGTTATTAAAGGTCTGTTAATAGCAAGCACAATATTTCAGATTAGTTTGCACAGTTTTCTCTTAATAACGTAACTGATTAAAATTATTTTACCCTCAGTTGGAGTAGAAAGATATCAGAGGTGGATGGTGTGGTTTTCTTGGAGATTACAAACAGACATTCAGTTGAATTATTAGTTAAGTATCTCTAAACATTTCAACATTTGTATCATTTATAACATTTGGAGTTTTTTAAGCATTCTTTAAAATAATTTCAGTGTTGGGCATGCAACAATTAAGGTTTGGGTTCCACTGAGTGTGGAAGAATGGGCTCATTTAATATTTATATGAATATTAATTGGATTAAAGCAGTGACAGTATTCATTCAAAGTAGATTTTACCTTACTTCAAGTTTTATAGTAGTGAGGGTGATGGTCTGCAGATCATTTTAGTGATCTCAGGAATCTAGTCTCACACTTTGCCACTCAGGAATTATCTGTATGTAGTACAGGAGCAAGGATGCACATGTCCCGTCAAATGTGACAAAATGATGTATAAGAAAAGTGTGCCACATTCAGCTCAATGAACATATAGAGTTGACTGCTGTGTACCTATTCCTGCCACCATTTATGGTAGAAATTGCTCTGTTCAGCATCTACACATTGCTTTGTAACTCTTAAGCTGGAATATGGTTCATTTGTTGGTGGGAATTAACCTTAGTGGATCTTAACTTCTGAGCTGATCGAAGTTAATCAATCACTGTAGCCATCGGCTATTAGAACTTAATTGTAAATAATTATGGTACATATACTATTGGAAGTATACTAGAAACAATGAAATATTAATACTATATGACCAAATGGTGTCCACCATAAAAAATGAAAGATGTCATCAAATATATAGCCTTCCCCCCCATTAACAAAATACAGATAAATACAAAGTATACATGCATGACAGTATAATTATATGTCAGATTATTCCACGAGGAGGGAATTACGCAGGCTTCTTCCAGCTCCTTACATGAAAAGAATCTTTTTGTCTTGGTCCTAAAAATATGGATAAGAATCTAGTTCAAATCACCATCACTATTTTGGTTGATTGACTTAGCACACTGGTCAATTTGGGAAAGTCTCTAATAGTATGGAGCAGACACGCAGTCAAGTGGGATCAAGTCACCTATTCTGCCTCTATTTAATTGTGCCTATGCTGTCTCTAGGCCCAATAGATTGCTTGTCTTCAGACAGAATGTTTGCCTCACATAATCAAAGTGAGTCTGTTCCCCAAAAACAGTTTTGAGAGGAAATATCTGTTGCCTTAAAAATCCTGAGCCACAAAAAATGTTAAACAGATGAGAATAACTGATTCAGTAACAAAATCTCAGAAACTTATCTTAAGGGCGGTGTAAGAGGATCTTTCTCTTCCAATCATAGAAAGGGAGACAAAATAAATTAAATGTCTCTGTTTTAGATGAGGGAAGGAGGTTTCTTGGATTGGCTTTTTTGGTGCATTTACTTTTAATCTCAAGTGCAAAATGTTTACTTCTGAGGAAGAAGGGGGTGGGGAAACTACATATGAATGATTAGGCAAACCAAGCAATAGTTTGACTGGATTCTTGCTCTGAGTTTTTGGTACATTAAGAGAACTTGGAGTATACGGAGTGTGAAATACCTGATCAAGGAGAGGCCAGCAAATTTATCATTGTCTCTCTGGATTCTTTTATGTCTAGTATAATGAAAAGAACAAAGCTTGGAAATAATGTGTTAATATTAAAACTCTTACTTTTTTGCCAAATAGGGCAAAATGTTGCCAGTGCATCTAGTGCTTTCAAGATAACACAATAAAAAATAATGCTACTCATGTTCTTATTCCCTAAACTTTGTAAGTGTGCACCCTCTTCATAGAATATATGTAAGTGTTCACTCCTCCTTCTAGACAGGGATGCACCCCTACACTTCCAACCAATATTTGCCTATATAAGCAGTGGTTCGAATGCTTGCCATCTCAAGTATTTTTGGATCATACTTTGCAGGAATCGTAGCTATCATTAAAAAGTGCAGGGTTTTGGGGAGTTGCAGTGAAAGAATATCTGTGACCCTATAAGCTTAGGAACCAGTGCTCTATACAGAACCAATAATTTCTCAGACCATCTTTACATAGATTTAATAACACTCTGCAACCTAGTGCTGAAAGTATACTGAGGGTGAAAGAACGTCTCAGACCTCCAGCCTTATTTTTCTGCCTAAATTTTCAAGTCACAGAGACCAATGTGACAGCCACCACCTCTGCTTGAGAGTCACACAACTGAAAACTGCTCACTTCCATCAAAAAGGGCTTAAATATAGCTAACGTGGTTAAGATGTCATTTTGCTATAGACAAGAATTTGCAGTTTGACATTATTTAGGAAAACACTGCTAAATAGTGTAGATTGAGATGTCCAGATAAATGAAAGCTAAGGCAAGTTGCTACAAGAGTTCTCCTGCAATGGAAAATGTGCTATGTACTGTATGTAGGTAGAAATTCTGAAGCCCTAGTCTAGCTTCCAGTCTAGACTTCCTGTGCTGGAGAATTGTTGACAGAGGCTTTATGTCATTGTATTTTAATATTCTACATTATTCTCTCTCTTTTTTTAACAGAATGGGCAGGGCAGGGCCAGGTCTACCTTCTTCCTTCTACACTTGTATAGTCACTGTGCCCAAGTGATTTAAACAATGCTTAGTAGATCCTGATTCTTGTTGATTTAGGGTGCCTCAACCTGAGTAAATTTCACTCTGTTTGAGACTCCTCATTCCAGGCACAGTGGGAAATTGAACTCTCAACCTCTGACTCTGAGCTATTTAGGCAGCTAAGAGTAAGACAAGGAGTGCTGTCTTTTACTTATCACAAAATAATTCTATGCACAATCAGCAAAAATGTAAGAATAGTGGCTGATCATTAAAAGAGATACCAGCATCTTCACTTACATATATTCCATTAAGGTTCATCCCACATCAGCCCTCACTATCATTTTCCAAAAGGTGCATCACTTGTATTGAAGTGTGACTTGCATTAAGCAGTAATTTTGAATAATTTGCTTAATTTGTGCAAAATTCCTTCCTGATCTTCTCTTACCAAAAGTCCAAATAAAGTATATCTCACTCTCATGAGGTGAGAGGAATAATTTTAAAGCTCCTCGGTTTTGCTTGTGAAGATGAGACAAGTCGTTATTTACATACCAAATGGGCACTGTATTTAAGAATTAATTAAGAGAAAGCCCTTGTTTCTAAAGTAAGCATGTGAAAAGATTATAAATAACCTTTAAACTAGAAGAGTGTTTAGTAGAGGAACACCTATTCCAAAATGTGGCAATATACTTTATTTTTTATTTCATTCTGCATTCTCATTATATCTTATCTTTATCCCAGAGCAGGCAGCTCATAATATGAATTAGAAACAGATAATTCCAAAAGACATTATATCGAATAACAATTTAATAAATTACTGTATTTTTCCGTGTATAAAACTATAATTTTGTCTAAAACCAATAGACTAAAAATTGAGAGTCGTCTTATACACGGAAGCAAGCGAAAGAGAGAACAAAAACAAGTGGAGGGGAAAGCAGGGATCAAAGCGATTCTGCAGCGCTTCAATCCCTTTCCCCCTACACTTGCTAAGCCCCACTTAGATTTCTTAATTTTGGATTAGAAAAGTGGGGGTGTCTTATACATGGGGCGTCTTATACACGGGAAAATACGGTAT